CAGTGGTGGGATTCAAATAATTTAACAACCTGTTCTCTGCCCTAATGTCCAGCTGCGTAGGCGGAGCTTGGTGGTCATGTGACCATGTGGGCGGGGCCAACTCAACGTCACTCACACCGATGGGCGCCGCTTCACCTTAGGTGTTATAATGTAATAAGGGTTAATGGAGAGGCAGTTTCTGTAAGCAGGGCAATAGAGATGAGGCTAGAAACAACACCAGAATGTTTCCTTCCTGCCTTCCTTACCGGATTAGCCCTGTAAAGTGGAAAAAACCAAAAGGAGATTTCTTCCAACAACCGGTTCTCCGAACTGCTTAGAAAGTTAACAACCGGTTCTCCCGAATAGGTGCGAACCGGCTGAAACCCACCACTGTGCATTTCCCAACACATCCTGCATTAGGCTTGTGATATATTGCTACACATCACAGATTTTCCCATCATGGTTGTGACCCGCCAGCAGCCAGTAGAGCTGGCAGCAGATTCGGACAGTGAGGAGGTTTGGGGAGGAACATGGGCCAGTTGTGGAGTCTGGGGAAGGCTCTGATGAGGGATCTTACAAGGCAGAGATGGGGCTAGAGCTGTCTGACAGTTATTGGCTGCCTTCGGAATCAGACATCAATGAGGCAAATGAACAGCTGGAGCCTGTTCCCAGTGTGCGCCTGAGCAGAGTTGTCAGATGAAGGGAACAGCTAAGGAACAAGGGTTGACTTGGGAGTAAGGCCGCAGATGGACAGTGAATGGCCCCTCTCAGAGGGAATAAAAGAGGAGCAAAAGGGCAGCGGTATTTGCAGGAGACAATTAGATCATTCCTGTGTTCTTGCCAGGTATTGTGGTGTCTGAAAGATATCGGCCTGGCCACCCTCCAAGCCTGATAAAGGTCAGTAATTGTGAACTATGTTGAAAGACTGTGAGAGAGGAAAGATTTTGCTGGAGAGGAATTCACTGTAAATTTAATAAAAAGGATTTATCGGGATGAGGACTCAGCTTCGTGCTGCTGGGGAAGCCTAGGTCAGAGCAATCATTCACAACACATATACACCCAGGTGAGTTTTAAGAATTCTTCCTATGTGCACATGAGTCCTGAACGGTTTGTATGAACTCTATGGTAGAAAAAAACATATGTTTTTGCCTATGGAGGGCTTCTAATTCTTGGGATTTTTCTGTAAAAATCTGTTCAAATCCAGAGTCTGGATAAAGAACTCTGCTGGACAATCTAAGAGCCTCAAGAACAACATTTAGCTAAAAGAGTCAGCAGAAGAAACCATCCACTGGCATTATGCACCTGGGGAGCCATGTGCATCATACATGAATATATGAGTAAATCCTTTGCCAAGTTCTTGCTTCTTTCTTAAGAGCTACTTGAGAAAAAAAACAGTTCATTTCGAAGAAGAAAAGGAGAAAGAATCCATTAAAAGGGAGCTTACATTTGCATTTGTACCACAAACAATCTGTGCATCTTAGTCGCATCAGATCAAAGTTCTGCTCTCCTAATTTATATAAGCAATTAAGGCTGAACATCACTTACTCATGGGGCTCCTTTCTTTCCCAAAAAAACAAAATTGTATTTTTTCTGCAAGGTGTATTATATACAAAGATATAAGAATATTCTACATTCTTCGAATTAGATGGAATTAAGAATACATTAGAGCTGGGGTGTCAGACTCGATTTCATTGAGGGCCGCATCAGGGTTGTGGTTGACCTTGGGAGAGGCAGAGTGAGCATGACCAGCTCAACATCACTCGTATTAGGGCACCTGTGGTGGCCCAAATGCTCTGCCAGCGAAAATGGGCTCCTAAGCTCTGTTTCTGGCCACCATGGCCACCTGCAACCCTCCCAAGCTCCGTTTTCTCTGGCAGAAGCACTGTGGGCCAATCCTTTGCTGTTTCCAAGGCAGCCCATGGGCCAGATCTAAGTACCCCATGGTACTCACAGCTCCTGAGCCTTGAGTTTGACACCCCTGCGCTAAAAGGTTAAAAAAAAAAAGTCATCATACTTGACTGTCCAGCCCCAAGAAGATCAGCATAAGGAAGAACAAAGAGGCCCACAGCTGAGATATAGGCATCATGGTTACTGCTTTGGGGTAAGCAATAAATGCTAGGCCAGGACCTGTCAATCAAACAAAAAGAAGCAAAGCAATGTTCTATTAGCTTAAGGTGAGGCACCGGCATCCTTTCAACAGTTATCAGATCAGAGTTCCTGTTAAAACTTAATCCCACTGGATACGATGATTGGAGTTGAATGGGAATTCATGCAAAGAATACCGGTTTTCAGTTTCTGCCTTATCAAACATGCTTACTGGATTAAGATAGACAAATACACAGTTATCAGGAGCTACCTGTGTTTTCCAATCTAGTGCCTTCTGGGTATGGGAGACAAAACCAGATAAGCATGGAGAACATCAACCAAATCAGACACATGTGAGTTTCTCTACTCAACGTGTAAAGCAGGTGTCTCCAACTTTGGCAACTTTAAGCCTGGTGGACTTCAACTCCCAGAATTCTCCAGCTAGCTGACTGGGGAATTCTGGGAGTTGAGGTCCTCCAGGCTTAAGGTTGCCAAGGTTGGAGAGACCCTCTTGTTGAGAACTCGTATGGATACTCTTTAAGGAAGACCTCCCCCAATTTAGCATAGGTGGCAACTCACAGAATTCTTTTCCCATGTAAGATTGCAAAGATTCCCATGCAATCTTACATAGGAAAAGACCTGAATACAAGACCAGCATACCTACACCTGTGAAAATCTACGAAAACACACACACATGTGTGTGTATTTATTTATGTATTTATTTATTTATTTGTAAATAAATAAATGTATAAAAATTTATAAATTTATTTATTTATCAATAAGTACAAGGAAACAAGTATGAAAACACATGAAAAATGGCACGAATAAATGAATATAAATAAGTAAAACATAGCCATAAACAAATAAAAAGAGTAGATATAAATAGGACAGGGATGGTAGGCACGCTGGTGGCTTATGCACGCCCCCTTAGGGACACCTTAAGAAACACATAAGGTCCACAGTAGACAGCTTAAGGTGAAAGTATGGGGGTTAGAGGAACTAACCAGGATAAGGTACGGTGTTCCACACATTTACTACTCTATTGCTGAAATCGTTTTTCCTGCAATCAAGATTAGAACGGATTACATTTAGTTTGTATCTATTGGTAGCCCTCGATTTATTGCAATTGAAGTAAAAGCAGTCATTAACAGGTAGGATGTTATGGCAGATTATCTTGTGCACTAAGCTCAGGTCAGAATGTAGACCATAACTTATATTGAGCTATCTCCACCTTGCAGCCATCGGCTCCTTACCTGATTCAGCTACTTTCGAAATGGGGACACCTTGTTCCTGCGCCATGAAGCCCAAGACAGAGAAGATGGCAAAGCCCGCCACAAAGCTTGTGGCACTGTTCAGGAAACAGAGCATGAAGGTATCTCTGTGGAAAATTCAGAGAGAGAGAGAGAGAGAGAGAGAGAAATTGTTGTCATTGGTAAAGATATTGTCAGAGGATGCAAGCTGTTCCAAGTAAAGCTGCCTTTCGCAATTGACTGATGGTGAATTTGTCAATGCTGGTCATGTTCAAGAGTTGCTCCAGTTGTTTTGCAATTACTCCCAAAGCACCAGTGGTGGGTTTCAATTGTTTTTACTACTGGTTCTGTGGGCATGGCTTGTTGGGTGTGACATGACTTGGTGGGCATGTCAGGGGAAGGATACTGTAAAATCTCCATTCCCTGGAACTGGTCAGAACCTGCTGAATACCACCTCTGCAAAGCACTTATGACTATTGGTACTGTACCTTTGCTTTCTTTTGTCACTGTTGTTTTATTTCTATTTCCATGTTTATTTGTTCACTCTTAATTATTGTTAATATTTTTTGCTTTACTCTCCTTTAATTATTGTTTTTAAGTATTATTTGGGGAAGTTGTTATACCATTATTTGAACAAAAAAAAGTCTACATGTCAAATAGCTTGCTGGCCTTCACTGTAAAGTATTGTAACAATGAAGACACCAATTTAATCCACAGTATCTCCACATAAAAACTTTGAGTCTGGGGAACTGCTTCCAATTAGATTAAAGTAGATATTTTCAGCTAAATGGAAAAAATATGATTCAATATAAGGAGGTTCCGTGGGTGTGTATTTGTATGTAAGCATATGAGAGGCCGGAAAAATCCAGAGACAGACAGATACATAAGGGTACTTAAAGTATATTTTCTTAGAAATATTGATCATTGAAGTAGAAGAAATCCATGCAAAGAACGCAAACATAAAATCATTGTCTTGTTAGAATATCTTTGCAGAACATATAAAATATATTAAAGGATATTATACACATAGATTAGAGATAGATATTGACATCTCTCTCTCTTTGTGTATGCTTGTGTGTTTTTGTGTGTGCATGTTTGTGTGTCTATATCTATATTTACAGAAATGAGTATATGGTTGTTATATGAAGCAGGCAGCAGGATAAAAGATGAACTGCAATGATTTGAACCCTTCTGGAAGACCCTGCATTTCAGAAGAATTGTCAGACCACAGGGAAATATATATTAAAGAATCCAGTGGATTACGAACACAGGTGGTCAACACACAATGATTAATACTACAACGCTCTAAAAGTCTGCAGAAATTAAAAGTGGTGTTTTACTTCTACCTGTAACAATTGTTGTTATATTTGTTGTAGCTGCCAAGAGCTGTCAAGCATCCTTGGCAAATGGCATATGAAAAGAAGATCTGAGTGCCTGCATCCATCCATACCTGAAACAAGAAAAGGACAATAATTCTACGGTCAGGAGGTAGATCATCAAGAAGAACATGTTAATAGGCAATGCCATCCCTAGAAAAAAAATAGTTGGAGAAGAAGTTGAAATGGTAACAGATGCTCTTGGTTGAAAAATTCACATACTGTATATGGTAGCTGGATCCACAAATTGAGAAGAATTTCCTACATAGGAGAAAGATGAGGGCAGATCTATTTAGATATTAAAGTATAGGTGCATCATGCTGGGAAAAAAATGCAGATTGTTGAATTCATGTGCTTTTCCAGTAGTAATGTATGGCTGTGAAAGTGGAACCATAAGAAAGACTTAATGAAGGAAAATGGATGCCTTTGAATCCTGATGCTAGAAAATCTGTTGAGAATACTTTGGGCTGTCTTTGAAGAGGAACAAATAATTCAATATTAGATGAAATAAAACCAGACTGCTCACTAGAAGCATTAATAATGAAGCTAAAGCTTAAAAATTGTGCATATGTAATGCAGAGGCAAGAGTAACTACTGCAGTGAAAATCCCAAGGCTTAGAAAAATTAAAGTCAATGGAAAAAGAAGTCAACAGAAGAAAAGGGGGCTGCTACTATCACTGATGAGACAAGTAGGAACTTACAAGAACTCAAAGAAGCAGCTACATTGGATCATGAAGGGTTGGAAGTGATGGAGCAACTGATCAAATCAAAGAGTGGAGCACTGAAAAATTCACAAATGATACATGTATAAATCAAAATCTAAAACCTTTTATATCAATGTGAAAATAACTTACTTTGGAAGTCTCCCCAAAAGATTCTGAATAAATTTATCTTACTCACATCCTTTTGTGTTTAATAAAATAGTTTTTTTTATCTTTTATGCTCCTTATAGTATTACAAAGTCCAAGGAGACAACACAAAAGCAACAACTAGTAGGCTGAAAAGCTGCAGGACTCCCATAAATTGAAGTAGCCATTGTCTACATTGTCCAGAAAATATGGGAGCTGAAGTCCAACACATGTCATGTGGAAAATATTGAGTTGCAGAAGAAATAAACAATTGCATTCTCCTCAACACACACATTCTTGAAATAACCGATAGAGACTCTAAATAGCTTGAAACTAGACTATCCGAAAGGCTGCCTCTCTAAGGTAAACTTTCCTGTATACTCAATCAATATTAAATTTTCTAGGTTTAGCTATGTCAGTCCAGTGTCAGATGTCCAGCAAGGGAATGTGTGAGATGGTAAAATACCCAAGAATAAGAAAAACGAAACCAGCAAAAATAGCACTTTTGTTATTGCTTTAATATGTACAAATATTAATTGGTATTAATATGATAAATATTAGTTTCGTAAACTGCCTTATGATATCTCTGAGAATTAAATATACATTTAACAAGTAATAATAATAATATTTGGCAGACTGGTGCCCTACCAAAAAAATCTTGGCTGGCACTTATAAAATCTGCGCATTGACAAAATTTCTATCTGTCGATTGCAAAAGGCCACACTGCTTGGACCCGCACATATACCATGTTTCCCTGAAAATAAGACAGGGCCTTGTTTTCTTTTGATCCCCGAAATAAGAGCTTGGGGTGGTCTTATTATTTCTGAGTGCAGGAGGCGGCAAGCATGGGGACCTCATAGCTGCTGCTGTGTTGCAATATTTTCAGGGAGGGCTTATTTTAGTGCATGCGCTCAAAAGCACGATTGGGCTTATTATCTGGGGAGGATAATAAGGGAAACAGGAAACACATCACAACATCTTAGATTCTTGGGAAGAACTCGATGCATAGGAAGGCCAATACCGGCTAAAGAACTGGCAGCAATGATTTCACACTGTTGTGTATATAATACTAACAACCAACCATTTATATATTTGAGCACTGCTTCATTTGAATGTGTGCACTGGTTTTGGTTGGTTGGTTGAGGTTTTGTTTTTATTTTTAGCTTGATCTAGATTTATAAGTATTCTATTGTTTTTTCATTTGTTTTAATATTTATTTATTTAATAAATTTATACGCTGCCCATCTCGCCAATAGGTTAATTCTAGGGAGATGGGAAGCATCTTTTGCTTGGGGTTAATTATCTTTTTGAGTGACTCAACCCCAAACTCATTATCTGACTCAAAAAGAATGTAAAAGTTTTGTTAATAATAAGGGATCAAAAACATGATCAGCTGATACACAGCACAGATGAATAAGGACAAGCACAGTGGTCCAACATGTACGTACATCTGGGTTGGAGAGTTGGAAAATACAGCACTTGGGAACCCTGTTCAGGCTAGCTAAGTTTGCTATAAATTGGGATTCAGCCATACCTCCTGGACCACAAGTTCTGCGCCTCTAGTATTAAGCCCTGTTCAGAGATTCCTACTTCCACCCCTCACTCCTTATCATAGCACAAGGTCTCTGAAGGATTCTCCAGGCCAGCTGTCTCCTTTTATATGGGCTCTTAGGTTGGGCAAATACGGTGGTGGCTTTGAAATAACTTTTCTGTGATGATGTGCCTAGTAACCTCATTTATTTGCTTGGATTTTTTTCATTAGACTTCCATGGTACACTGTGACTGTTGGATGGTTTCGAAGATTACAAAACATATTGAAGAATTGCTAGCGCCCAGGTTGAATGTTTCCAAGTTATCCAGAGTGCTACCATGGGAGAGTTCTTAATGTATGTGTTGCAATTTTCCCTGACGTCCACAATTTCCCGATGCATCAGACCATGACGCTCATCATCCCCAGCTACCAGCACAACGGTGGCTGGGGACAACATGTGTTTAAGCCAATGCACCTGGAGAGGACCCAAAAGGGAAAGTGATAGATGGTATTTTATGCTTTCATGTGCATTTTGTTTGGCTGGATTTATTAGGTCACGCTTAAGATGTTATATTACTGACAATCCCTCAGGTAAGCAGTTAAGAGTAAGCATGTCAAATAAATCTTTCAAAGATTTCTTTTCAAGCAAATGGTACAATCATCCAGGAAGGAATTTGTTGCAACAGGAGTGAGCATGCAATCATCCACAGGGTCTGCTAGAATTCTCTTGAAAGATTCTTCTGCTTAAACATCGACTTTTAAAAATGAATACTTGGGAAAATTGTATGCAAAGCCTGTGTATCTTAGGGAAAGATGTACATAGGATAGGCACAAAATACACATCTGGCAGGCAAACCTCAATACAAATTATCCTGTGTGAATGTTTGCATAAATTTGTAGATGATGCAAAACTTTGAGAGAAAGGAGTAACACCAGGGGTGAAATGTTACCAGTTTGGACTGGTTTGCCCAAACTGGTAGTAAAAAATGCTACTGGTTTACAATACAATAGCAGAGTTGGAAGGGACCTTGGAGGTCTTCTAGTCCAACCCCCTGCCTAGGCAGGAAACCCTATACCATTTCAGACAAATGG